TATCTTCCTTTGCGAGGTGCTGTGAATCCAGAGTGGAAGCTTTGTTTTGACCCAGCACACACAAGCCAACATTTCAGAACTTCAAACCCAAGTTGTGAGTGAGCCTTCCAGCCAGCTTTCGTCCCATGTCTCATTGCCCCATTCCTCCAACGATGTGCCCAGGCGAGAACACATTCCCCGACGTCGACACAAAGTACAAGTGCCCGTATAAAGATTACGCGTGGCAGCAGCGATCCCAGTGTGGCCAGTGGAAAGATCTAGCCGGCAACGGCATGCACCAACAGTTGCTGACTTCAGTGCTGCTGTACTTCCTTGCCAGTGTCGTTCGTTTGCCGGGGGAAGAGTTCAAGCTTCGCGGGTTCCAGTTCCATCGTGGCTTCACCTCCGATGAGCTGGAAGATTCGCAGGGCCAGGTAGATGAGGCTGACGACAACAAGGACGATTCGCGTGAGATCCCTGAGCCTCCCTGCGTGTCGAATGAACAGCAGTCTGAGTCTGCTGAGGGTGCAGGGGTGAAGAAGAGATTGCGGTTGAGGTGAGCCCCTTCCCCGTAACAAAGACGGTGGCCTAGATGATGGTATGGTGTATTACTACTCTAGCTCAGCTTGTGTTTTGGCGTCTTGGCGGCACCACCTGGAACCAGGCTTTTGGTCAATCTCGAAAGCACTTAGCCAGTTTTGTTCATTGGCGTGTGCCGTGCAGTTTGCAGAGCACGGTCCGGTGAGCTGGCAGGGTCAGGGACGTACGAACTTTGGACACTTCTAGCATATTTGGTTTGCTTGTTTGATTTGTTTGCTTCCGCCACAGCCGGGCCGTGCCTGCAAAAATAAGTTCAAGTGAGCTTCGTGTATCCGAAGAGAGAGTTGTCAGCTAGGCATTTGCACAGGCTGCCGATCTGAGCAGGTTGTGGAAAGCGTTCAGAACGTTTTGTCGTTCGGGAGCATCAGAAAATGACAATGAGAATGTTGTGCTGCAAAGTGTAGATGCTCAGTTTGTTATCTGTATCTTCTTAGAGGACGGCTTGCGTCGGTTCGCAATGACGAAGCATCCGAAGCAACTGACGTTTGCCAGCAAGGAGCTTTTACTTGTGTGATGCATGGTCTGCCTGGGCCTCAAGTGGAATACCTTGGAGACTTCTATTTCTGAGGTGATGCATGATGCATGACTGGCATGTGACATGTGTCGTCATGTCAGTATAATTCAGTTTGTTTCTCGCATGAAGATACTGTGTGTAGAGGCCTGAGCACAAAGGTAAGGCGTAAGGAACAAGCGGCACGTCGTGAACTACTCATCGGCTGTCTGTGTGTCTTGGGCTGCGCGTCGCCGGTCACCATGAGTGTTTCGGGGCAGGCAAATGATGGTGATGGCCAGCCGAAGCTTCAAGAAGATCAATTTCTGACAGAAGAGCAGGAGGAGTTTGAGGCTTTCTCTTCCGGTCAAGCAGCAGATGGCGACGGAGATGTTCCACCGCCGCCTGCATGTCATCCTGTTCCCCGGACTCCGACCAAGAAGAGGCGTGCTCCAGACACTCCAACTTCGTCGGCTTGCAAGGCTCCTCCCAGCGAGACGGCGTCGCCGGCTACTACAGCCCCTACATCGGAGCCGCCGTTGAGTGCTGAGAAGTGCCCGTCCCGCCTTTGCATAGCCTGCTCCCGTCCGGCTACAAAGGGCAGCTTGTGCGATGACCATAAGAGGGTGTCGGACAACCTCTACACTGCCGAGAAGAAGCTGAAGGATGCAGAGCCTGATAGATGGAAGCGATTTATGAACATCCGAAAGCAGCAAGGTCCAGAGTGGCAGCGCATGCTCGTGGATGCCCAGCCTGCAAAGGGGGGAAACCCCGGGTCGGGCAGAAAGACGAGCAACTACCAGGCCATGCAGGAGGTCACCGTACTGTCGCAGCAGAGCTCCATGAATGCACAGTTTCAAAGCAAATCCATGAACCGTCGCATGTACATCACGAAGATCACAAGCGAGTGGGGATGGGATGCAAAGGATGCGGCTGAGGAGTGGAAGCGTGTGCTCGCCGCCACCCCTGAATCCCAGATTGAGCAGAGACCAACCGCCCCAGGGCGGAAGATGGAACCGTGGATTTACTGTCACGACTTTGATGCGCTGCTGGGAAGCCAGGGATTGGCTCATAGCCACCAGATCCAACTGAAGGAGAAGGAGCGGAAGAACCCCAAGGAAACCAACATCGATGCGGCGGAGGAAGCATTGACCTCGCAAGCGCTCCACTTCTCCGACAACTTCTTTTCCGGCATGGGGTGCACGAAGCAGGCCTTGCAAAGTGTTCGCGACAGTGGCAGTGCCATTGTGGACTCCTCCGGTCGCTCTGTCGTGTTTGCAGAAACCTCCAGCTTTCGCTCCAAGGCCGCCTCCTCATCCAAGGAACCGGAGAAAGGGGAGAAGGAGAAGAAGAAGAAGGCCAAGGCTTTCGTCTTGGAGGACGTGTTGGATGGCTTGGATTTCCGGCTCAAGAAGCGCTACGACGGCGCCAAGAAGTCTGCGGAGGACCTGATCAAGGAGATCCAGGAGTTCTGGGACAAGGAGCCCAAGGCCAACTTGACCAAAATGTCCAGGGTCGCCCAGCAGGTCAGCTTTCGCATGATCGTGATCAAGGCCGTGGCGATGGACCTCGATGACTTGCCTCCGGACCTCACCTTCACCCGTGACAACACTGGTGGGCTGAGCGAGGCAGAATGTCAACTTGTGCAACCTTTTGTGAAGGGCGATCACGGCTCACAGTATCGTGCTGCACTCAAGCTGGTTGAGGTTTGCAAGCAGGCTGTAGCATTGTCTAAGGACAACAAGGATGCCACCGCCGCCCTAGAGTATGTAACCGCGGAAGTAGGTGCTGTCTTCGAGCGTGGGCTCTCTGTGGAAGTGGAAGAGGACGATGGACTTCCACTTGCAATGGTGGAGAAGGAGCTTCTGCAGAACATCTTCAGCCTCCACGGGTGGGCAGGTAGTGGCTTCAGCGCCCAGCCTGACTTCGAGGCCTTGTTGATGGAGATGCAGGAGTTTGCGAAGGTGACGTTCTCGAAAATCTTCATGGACATTGTCATTGAGTGGTTCTCATCCGGTGCGAGGATGCTCCTGGATCCAGCCCTCATGGAGAAGGTGGTGCCCCTCTTCCTCATCAACTTCCGCTACCGTGTGCTGTTCAGGTTGCAGGACACTGAGGACGGGGTCAAGCAAGCCGAGCAGCAGCTGAAGGATGAGATGGATCTGAACAGATCGCTGATCGGCTTTGCCCGGAGCTCCTTTTCCATGCTCACCAAGCAAAGCCGGGATCTTCGCAGGGAATCGGCACGCTTGCAAGCTCAGCAAGACAAAGAGCGAGCTGCTGCCGAAAAGCAAAGAGAAAAGGAGGAGAAAAGCAAGGTGAGAGGCATTGCCGATCAAATGCGAGGCGGAGAGAAGCTGCCTGGCCTTCTGGCATTCTGTGGCGCGTGGATCAAGCCCATGCAAGAGTACAAGAACATCGACGATTACCGTGCAGCGAAGCACGACTTCAAGAAACCGTTCATCATCACAGATGTTGCAACCTTGAAGGAGGAGGAGTCCAAGTCTGGCGCGAAGGTCAATTTTTCCTTGTTCAAGGCAGAGATTGGGCACAATGTCTGTAATCAGGCCCTAAACCCTAAACCGTAGTGTCTAACCCTTGCAATCGTATGACACGCTGGCCGTCTTGCAAGAGTCTTTTCCAGTGTAGCAGCGGGGCGGGGGTCGGGCTTGGACTTCAGGGATTGTACCAACAAGCTCCACCGTTCAGAGGTCCTTTTGATTCTCGGCGCATGTAGCCCTGGGCCTTAAACTCATTTATGTTTTGCGTCCGCTTGAATCCTGGCCCAGCAAATTTCCCTTAAATCCCGACCCAGGCGAATTTCCCCAAGTCGAACGGTGCGCAGCAGGAAGGCTACTCTCATTGCGCGGCTCCTGCCACGGAAGCTGTGCGTGAGAGGCTTATGGAACTTGCTCCGTCCACCAGCGTGAAGCTCACCAAGTGCTCCGAGATCCAAGGTGTGTCCATGTGGGGTAGCACCGCTGACATGATCCGAACCTCTTACGAGCTGCTCGGCTTGGGGGCTGTGAAGTATGCATCTCGCGGCACACGTGAGCTGACCTGCATCAGCTTCGACAACGTCTTGAGCATCATCGAGAAGATTTGTTCCAAAGCGGATGAGCCTTGCCCAACTCCGAAGCCTGGTTTGCCTATGATGCGCATGTTGTCGACGTTCTTGCACGAGCGTCTCGACAAGAACGGATTGGCCCAGATCGAGGAGCTCCCAGATCTTGAGGCTTTTCGGATCACATCTCCCCCGGGATCCATGTGCTACATTCCTTCTGGCTATGTCTTCTCGGAGCGCACCCTCAACGGCCAGATGACATTTGGGTGGAGGTGCACGGTTGTCGAATCAGTTGATGTGGCAGGGCTGCTGAAAAAGTTCATCGCGGATGGATGCTTGGGCAAGCAGTCCTTGCAAGTGCTCGAGAAGGCCGTCAAGGAGATGGCCAAATCGGACAAGGATGGTGGCGACGCGCCCGGCGCTCAGGCCGAGGAGAAACAAGCCCAAGCCGAAGCGCAGGCTGTGCAGGAGAAACGAGCCCAAGCCGAAGCACTGGAACAGTTGAATGCGGACCCCAACGTGAAGGCATTGGAGAAGGCAGCTGATCCTGCTGCTGCCGAAGGTCGATCGGGCAAGCCGCCGCCGAAGCTCAAGGACAACAAGCGTGCCGCCGAAGAGCCGAAGGCGGCAGACAAGTCGAAGAAGCCCAAGAAGTAGGAAGTAGGCAGTAGGCGTCAAAGCTGTGCAGTGGCAGTGCTTGGACAGTCAGTTGGACACTCCTGCTTGAGCAACATACCGAATGACATAGCTGACTTAGCTTTCAGTGTTATGTTAGACCCCGCTAGAAGCGATTTCGGCAAAACGAAGTAACGAAGTTGTTGCGGTATCTTCGAGGTCGTCCAATCTTTTTCAAAGGCGCTTGATGCCATGACGTGTCATGCCACGTTTTCGTTTGTGATGCTGATGCAGTCGCAGTGCACTATGGGCCGGGGTTCAATGGACCGCGGTGTGGCTTCGTTCCCTGTGCTGCCACACGTGTCCAGGGGCATGCTGCGTCCTTGCAAAATCGCAAGGTTATCGCGGCTGTAGGGGTGGGCCTCACTCCGACAGAGAGTGCGCCTCAACCTGAGCAGAATCTCGGGCACCGAAAACACTCGAAGGCCGGTGTGCAACCTGGAAGTGATTTGCATCTGCGTGGATGTTGAGCCGAGCGAGCCTTGTGAGTTTGCGATGATTCTTCTCATTTTTTCATTGATCTACCGACATTCGTCATTCTGGTGCTGACGGGGCCCTTTTCGTGAGTGCCTAGCATATGTTTTTTTACCTAGGCTTTCCTGCGTCTTGCACTTTATGGTCAGCGTCAACGAAGTCAGCTTTATGGGCTCCGCCCGTACCGCGCCCCTTCGTGGGCCCCTAGGTTTTCTTTCCTTTTGGAAAACCCCCAAACAAAGAAAGCTATGGAAGGCAGCTCTTCGAGAGCGGCCGCCCTTACTGGCACTACGCAGAGACTATCAATGGGATCGCCGCTCGCAAGCCCATCCTCAAAAGGACCCTTCAGGCTGCATCGGACCTGGCTTTTTCTTGGGTGGCCCTGGAGCCGACGATGCATCACGTGGCTATGCCTGCTGTAATCCTTTTAAGCATGCTCACGGTCTGCTTACATTGGGGTTGGCTTCGTGAAGCTGGTCTCTCTTCGTTGGCTTGGGGAGGATTGCTGAGGATTGGAGAGGCAACAGCCATGTTGCGAAAGAACTTGGTCCTTCCCCAAGATGTGCTCTTTTCGTAAGGGCACATCTTGGCAAGGATCGAGGAGCCCAAGACGAGGATGAGGATGGCCCGCCATCAGGCGGCACGCGTGGAGCAGATGGACCTGGTTCAGCTGGTGGCCCTCTCCTTTGCAGACTTGGAGCCTCACGAGAAGCTTTGGCCCCTAAGTTCGCAAACCCTCCGGAGGCGTTTTGACTTGATCCTCGAGCGCTTGGGGATTAGCACTACGCGAGGGACACATCGGCCCCTGGACCTGGGCTCTTTCAGGCCAGGGGGAGCAACTCACTTGCTCTCCCTGACTGAGAACAGCGAGTTGGTCAGAAGACGTGGAAGATGGGCCTCCCATCGTGTGATGGAGATTTATATCCAGGAGGTGACGGCTTGTACGTTTTTTCCTTCCCTGCCCTTGGCGACGCGGCAACGAGTACTTCTGCTGGCACAAGCTTTTACAGCAACCTTGGGACAGGCAGCACAGTGGAAAAGGCAACAGGTTCCGCCTACCTCCTGGTACGCTCTCTTCTCTGCCGGCTAGCGGCCATGCATTGGCTTTTTTGGTGTGGGACGAATGGGAAAGACCTGCAGGTTCTCTGAAAGCTGAAGTCCTGGATGCGTATACCCAGGCTGCACCCTGTATGGTTGCAGAAATTCCGGCTGGAGAGCCAATGGAGACCTTCGATGCACGGAGTCAAAAGGAGGTGCGAAGCTCTGTATATTCGCACACATACATGTACATACATATGTTTGCCAAAGCAAGCAGTTATCAACAAACAGTAGTTGTGTGAACGAATATGTGCAAGTTGCAAACCAATTGGATGAAGGCACCTTCGGAAAACCCATACTTTCTCGAGCCAGCCGGTGCAAAATCGTTGGCGAAATGAGCAACCTTACCTGTTTTCAAGTTACCTGTCAGCTGGGTGTGCCATGACCAAGAACAGCGCACGCGCGCGCACGCGCACGCACGCATGCGCACACACACACACACAGAGACACACACACTGAGAAAGTGTTCGCGTACTCACGGATGTGTTGTTACAATACACGTTGTCTTGATGCAGTTGTGTGGAGATGTTCGTCGTCGTAATCCTCGTCCTCGTCCTCATTTCCGCTCCTCATTCATCAGCTGGCACGATGGCCCCAGATGCAATGAGGGTGGAGAGAGCAGGTACGTTTGCACAGGCTTTCCGGGGAGGTCTTCGTTGACCACCGCTCCCCGGAGGCCCCGGTGGTCCCCTTCTGACGAAATGCTGAAAAACAAGCTGCACTCTTGCTAAGATGCTCATGTTGGCTTGAGCAAACGAAAGGGTTGTGAACCCCTTATCTCATGTACTACAGAAGTGCACATGCACAGGGCCCCTTGTCTGGGGCGCATGCTTGTTGCAAAAAGTAGGCAAGGTGGTATGCTGCGTCAAGGTGGTCCCTTGCAAGACAAGTGCTCCCTTCAGCTGTGGCAAAGCGGCTGCAAAAGCAGGCGAGTGGCCTTGGCTGTGTTGTTGGGAGTTGGACCCGCCGGCACTGTCGTGCAGGTGGTGTTCCGGTGTCTGTGTTGTTGGTACCGCTAGAGCCACCGGCATCGGAGCGCACTGTCGTGCAGGTGGTGATGCTGTGGTGTCAACAGACGTGTGGTGCAAGGCACCGTGTCTGCCGTTGAGTGTTTGCAGAGCTTCAACTAGATCTAGAACATCAGGTCATTGTACGTCTTCAGAGTGCATTAGCAGTTACTTTACCCTAATGCATTAGACCTCATGGCAGATGCACATGCCGTCCTGCGCCAAGGCTGAATAGAGAAGATAGGCGAGACAGACTGGAAAGCGGAGGTAGCAGCTCGCGCACCGATCACTCTAACAGATGCATATGCCGCCCTGCACGTGTTTTGTCCGACTGCTGGACAAGGGGGCCCCGGTGAGCTCAGATGAAGGGGGCTTCGGACTCAAAACGGGAGGCCTCATGAATACATGTTGAACGAGTCCAAGGGGAGAGAGAGAGAGAGATGGCCCCGCAGGGAGAATCGGATCCCCTTCATCGAGGACTGCCTCCAATGGAGACCACCACGGTGCCGTGACGGATAGCCGTTGTAATCACGCTGAGAAAGTGTTCGCGTACTCACCGATGTGTTGTTACAATACACGTTGTCTTGATGCAGTTGTGTGGAGATGTTCGTCGTCGTAATCCTCGTCCTCGTCCTCATTTCCGCTCCTCATTCATGACCACCGCTCCCCGGAGGCCTCGGTGGTCCCCTGCTGACGAAATGCTCACAAACAAGCTGCACTCTTGCTGACATGCTCATGTTGGCTTGAGCAAACGAAAGGGTTGTGAACCCCTTATCCCATGTACGAAAGAAGTGCACACACACACAGACACAGACACAAAGAGACGCACACGCACACGCACACGCACACGCACGCACACGCACACACACACACACACACACAGACACACACACACACACACGCACCGCACAAAAACACAAGCACAAACATACAGATGGGTCGTGCGCTGCGCATCCATGCTTGCTTTTGTAACGTACCGTTCTTCACAGTCTCACTTGTCTCCAACTCGCCATAAGTCTTTGGCGTGCAGACTGTTGCTCTGCGGCTCGTCATGTCACCAAGCAGCCTAGAGCATGGGTTTGTGTTGACTACGACAGGGTGGTCGAGTCCGGCCATGTGTGGGTCAATGACAAAGCCAACACGGTGTTCGAATCTTGGTGGCAGAGGGCTAGCTCTTGCTAAACGAGATGTCCAAACATTTGAGCATTGAAAGATTTAGGATGGGGCTTTGTCCACAAGCACAGGTGCGCTTCACTCCGACGGTCCCCACCTGCAGCGTGGCAACCTTGATTGGCCTGACCATCAAGGCTGTGTCACCCGAGGGAATGCATGGCCTCGGCTTTCCAGTCCAAAGTCGTGCTATCCAGCGAAATCGCCTGCAATCGAAACGGGTAGTTGGGGTCCCTTTTAGGCTCTTTTTTTATAAGGGTGCCGTAGTATATTCGGGATCTACAAAGGGACCCTAATTTAAATAACTACTCAAATGGTGACAGTGTGATTGTTGCGAAGACGGCCTGTTGATGTAAGCCTGGGTTGTCCCTGTAGGGCAAGCAAATATGCCGAGTGTGGAAGCCAATGCCCTCACCAGCTGATTAGGCCAAGCTTCTTCGTTCACTTCCTCGTAGACGCTTGATTTCGTTCATCTCGATTCAGCACCCGTGGAAATTGGCGGTATGTCAGGCTGCCAGTGTTGCGCTGAGGATACAAGATTGATGTGGAAATTACACCTGGGACTCACAACTCTGAAGACCAAGCCGTTGTCTGAGATCGTTTTGTCGAGCCGTCTAGCTGCCTAAGGCCTAGGTCCGCAGTTGAAGTGATACAAGAAGTTGCACTCGCCCAGGTCAACAAACAGTGTCTGCACAGCATTCAGCCATACATTCTGCATTCGTCCATTAACCGACAGTTTCGTCGCCATGCCGTTGAGGTAAGGTTGGAGAGAGGTGTGTGTGTGTGTGTGCGTGTCCTGCATGCTTGGCGATTTCTGCAGGCTCGCAGACAAGGAGCGAGTTGCAGCCGCACTGGAAAATCCAGCTCTGCGGAACCTCATCAACAACGGCATCGTCCGACACCCAGCAGCTGGAAGAAACACTTGGCAGGAGTTTGTCCACGCTTTGCTCGGAAGGGGTTCAAGTAGAATCAACGAAGGCAGGACAAGTGAAGGAACACAGAGGAACATGACAACATGACACAGTGCCAACAAGAAGAGGTCCTACTTCGGAAGGCACCGAATCGATCGAAGAACGACCGACATCGTAAGAGGCGGGAGGCAGCCGGAAGAAGCAGCATGTATCAAGTACGTGGATCCTGCGGCAGCAAAAAAAAACGGCAGTGCAGGGTATATAAGCATCGAGGGGCATAGGAGGCAACTAACGGTTCAACAACAGCGTACACACATGCAAAGAATGAAGTACAAGCACGACAATGTAGCAGGAAGAGAAGGCTCAACAACGCAAACCCCCCCACCAAGACCATTAAAGGGAATCCGAAAACCGAGAGCACCAACAATCGCATGGCTTCCAATATCGGCAACCTGAAAATAATGATGAGTAGGTCGGTACAACGGCACTGCGTTTCAGATTAGTCAGAACGCTGCTAGCTGCTGCTGATTGTTTGCCCATACTACTGCTGCTGCTTCCGAAGTGCTTCTGCTGATAATGCTGCATCGAGTACGACTGATTCAGACAAAAACGAAAAGGCGTTGCTTGGTGGCTGTGGCGCCAGAACCATTCCTGGATGCCCTGTAAGCCCCAATCCTTTCGCACTCCAGGCCAAGGATTTTTCAAAATGCGATTCGTGCACCCATTTGACATCTGCAACGTACTCCGAATGATAGTATCGGATCCATAGTCACGGAATCCAGAACCTGGAACCCCACCTTCTCGAGTGTCTGACCGCAGGGCGCTCGTGTGCCTACCTGAGTTTCTTGAGCACATCGACCTTGGAATCACGAATTTGAAATGGAAGGACCTAGTATGTTCATGCACGGGTGCATGGCGAAGTAGATGACAATACAACTAGCATCATCAGAATGATTGTTTATGTAAGGTTCGATCATGACCAAATGGTCCCTGCACTGTGATTTCTTGCATAGTATTGCAAGGCGTTCTACAACTAGAAGGCACGTTGAAGTTTCATGTTTTTTTCGCAATGTTTATCCGGTCCTTTCAGAAGTATGTGATAAGTATGTTGCTTAAGCGCAGAAACAGCAGACCACAGATAGAGCCAAGAAGAAGTTGCCTTGCGTAGAGTTCCGAAGACTTCAGGCCGGTACAGACAAGCCGGATGTGAAGCTTCTCCTCGCCTGAGTGCTCTGAGTGCTCTGCTGGCATGCCACTGCGCTTTGAGGACCTGCCATGTCGGCACGGCACTCTGGCTCGCACTGACATCGGATACACCATCATTCGGTGCCGAGCAAACCTCATACTTCATACTTCTGTCTGCGTGCGATGGGATGAAAACGGAGCGTCGGAGTGTCAGCTTGGGCCGGGACATGGTGGCGGACAGCTGTCGCGATTTTCGTGTCGCGACGGGTTTCAATTCATTTCAGATCTGGAGTTTTGTCACTGCATTTTGGCGTTGCTATGTTTCAGAGGTCCAGATGGTGCTCGTGCGATTGCAGCTGCTTCAGACCAGAGCTCAGCATTTCCTTTCTGCTTCTGGGCAGCATACTTTCCTAGGCCTCATTGACCTAACTGAAGTGACGAAGATCCTCTTTCCCAGCCCCATACCCAAAACTGACGTCTGTGACATGGATTGGTCTCATGTGTGGTCTCTGGTCTCACGCGTATCAGCAGCCAAACCGCGTAGGTTTTACGAGTGCGCACATGCATGTATATACCTAAATGTGCACACACATCTGCACCGTTGCACGAATGCAAGGATGCAGCTACGCAGGGCCGTCTGCCGCGAAACTATCAGCTCTGAGACAAGTCCGCCGCGCACCGCACAGGGTAGCGCGGGGTGGCGTGGGCATGAGACCTTC